ACAGGTTATATAGTATGGGTGACTTCAGTTTGCTTTTTCTTTTGAAACAAAATTCTGTAAAGACAATACATTCTGATTGTTTGGTTACTGGCGAACAAACAGCTTTGCTTCTGAACTTTATTTTTTTTTTTTGGTAGAATTCTTATTACAGTATTAAAGTATTGCTTAGCTGGCAGAATCTCATGTAGTGCTTGCACACGGTGAGAAATGGATTGGAATTAGATTCTGCACCCTTTATGAAACTCTACAGTGTATTGATGCAGATTTTTTTCCCCCTCTTGAATCTGCCAGTGTGTCTAAGGCCCCCGTCACTCAAAATATAGTTAGACCAGCTTCAGTCTGCTTTTCCAAACATTTTACTTGACAGGAAAAAAAAAACCAACCCCAAACCAAAAAACAAGTAGGAAACCTTTCAAGCAAATACACCAAGGAGTAAAAAACAAGTAGTTAGTGTTTTTTTGTAAACAATTTTATATGCAATATATATATATTATATAACCATGGCTGACATTTGAGGAAAAATGTAGTAAAACTATATTGCTTTAGTCTTTTTTTTGTGTCTTGCATTGAATTAGATGGAAAATGAAACAGGATGTTTTTGGTGACTGGAGTCCCTAGCCCACATTCATACTCCAGACTGAAAGAGCTGTGCAGGGTTAATGGCCGGGTGGAAAAGTAAATTAAAAATCTGTACACCTTTCAGGTCATTATTTACCAACAATTATCCAATGATTCAACTAGCCTAGCAGGATGTGTCACATTCATCAGCTTGTGTATATACTGCTGTACAAGAGAAAGAAAAATTACAGCAACAGAGCCATGCTACCTTAAAGTCCAAGCTACTAATTTAAATCAAAAGAAACATTATGCAAATAGGAAATTTAAAAAAGGGACAGGTTGCTCTTCGTTTTAATCAAGTCAACTTCCAACTTAAAATTGGATGACAAGTTGTTTTTTTCCCCTTTGGTGGGAAGAGAAACAAGATAAACTAAAAACTCCAACAGCCTAGGGGTGAAATTCTGGCCCTTTTTAAGTAGCAAAAACAAAAACAAAACAAAATGTTATTTCACTATGCTACATGACTTCTAGTTTTTAAAATCCTTCTGACACCTCTTACTGTGTTTCTGATATCCCGATTGCTTTATCAATATATAACTTGGTTTGAGGCACAAAATAGCATTTTCTCAATGCTCTTCATGGAAATGTGTAAAGGAGAAGTGTCTAACCTTGGCAACTTTAATACCTGTGGACTTCAAAACTCCCAGAATTCCCCAACTATGCTGAATGGGAAATTCTGGGAGTTGAAGTCTACAGGACTTAAAGTTGCCAAGGTTGGACATCCCTGGTGTAGAGTATCTACTGTTGTATACTAATGGTGCTTTTTCCACCATTGAAACTACACTTTGATTTTTGCTAACTCCAAAAGAAGAGTATCTACAAGATGGGGGAATAAAAGAATCAAGATGGAGTCCACAACCATGTGATCAAAGCCCCAACCATCGCGAGGTGTGTACAAATGGAGCAGGTCTACGATCACGTGGTTGTGGTAGACACCATCTTGAATTTTGCTTCCTCTCCACGGACTCCCCCGCCCCTCCCCTAACAAGGCAATGTTTTGCAAATGAGGTTTGGAACAAAACAGTACAATGCTGGGATAGCAATAGATGCCTTGTTCTCTTGACTAAAATAAAGTTGCAGCTTCTGCATTTAAAATTAATTTCCCAAATGAAAACAAATTCTCAGATCTTTTAATAAGGACGTCTAGATGAGTGAGGGAAGAAAATGAACCTTACTCTAGGCAGTCACCTAAAAAATATACCAGGTTCCACACAAGTTGTGCTCTGGGCCATCCAGAAGGTATAGAACTATCTAAAACATATTCACAGAGATTATCAACTTTTCTTCGGAGTATTCTTTCTTTTAAAAAAATACTTTTTCTCTTTGCAAAGTCATTTCATTATACCATGCCTCCCTTTTTTATTTTAAAAAATAAACTAAAAAAATCCAGTTTTGCATATCTAGCATTAGCATTTAAGGTAGTATGGCACACCCTTTTTATAAAAGTTGAAGGGTGGGGGAATCTGCAAAAGGATGCAGTAGTTTTGCCAACGTTTCTTTTCTTTCTTTCTTTTCTTTCTTTCTTTCTTTCTTTCTTTTCTTTTTTTTTTTCTTTTCTTTCTACATTGTGAAGCCTTTGGTTAGTTTGAAACCACATGAGATCAGCAGAAAGTAAAAGAGCGAAAAAGGAAATTAAATAGAAACAAAAACCTGCCCCCAAATTATTAGCATTTCTTTTTACCTTAAATAAGAGAAAGTTCTATCCTTACTGGTCCTAAATCTGAATAACTACATCTATGTATTTAACTTTAATTACAATACAACTACAATATGTACTAGAAGAGGAAGAGAAGAGAAAGGGTATGTGTGGAGGGTGTCACTACACTAGAATCAGGACAGCACTCTTACAAGATAGTCATTTTTATACATTATTAACATACAACAATGATCAACAAAGAATCTTCTATGAGGTGCCAGAGACCGAGGAAGGAGGAGGGGGGAGGAGGAGGAGGAGGAGGAGGAAGAGAGAAACACATGATAGTCTACAGTACAGGCACACATTCCCAGAAACTCCAGCAAGGAAGCTCTGTGAAAATCAAAAAAGAGCTCCCTCATTTAAAAGGAAATTCACCCTCAGGAACTCCTGATGGGCTGCACATGGATGGCGTCTATCTTGATTAAAATGTAATAATAATAATAATAATTAAAAAAAATCCCTGACTTTTTTCTTTTTTTTTTTCTCGCTCTTTTTTAAATTTTTTTTTTTTTTTTTGTAAAAACACACTCGAGTCTCAGGGAATTAGTTTGCGATTAATTCCTTCTTATTTATTTCATTTCATTTTTATTATTTTTAGTGTACTACTTGATCAAGTCTCAATAACTTTAAAAAGCGTCCAGCATTCTGGCTTTTAAACCTGGTTGTTTTCAAATAAGAAAATAAAAACTTAAAACATACAACAGCCATCCCCCTTCCAGCAAAACACCTCATTTTTGCTGTCTACTTTAAAAACGGGGGGAATAAGATTCTTCCCCTCCTCCTTACAGTTCGCCTTGTGGTGCCTCCGTGAGTGGTTGAAGATGCTTTGCTGTAACTTGTCTATTGAACATCTATGTTAGCCTACCGGTTAGTAAAATTTTACAAAAATAGGAGTGCAGCAGCTTTTTTTTTTTTCTCTTAACAAATGTCTCATTCAGTGTCTTATTCTGGCTGTACCTAGAGTACCAAATTTATAAACGTAACAATTTAAAAAAATATTAATAAAACTTGTCAATATTAATGTTTTAAAAAAAGAATATATCCACACTATAATTATGCTTGTAATATCACCTACTGTGTTGTACTTGGAGTTGCTGTTGCCAGCCTATTTGACCCATATTTAAAAAATTAAATTAAAAAATATCCTTCATAAGTCTCCTCCCCAGCAGAGGACCATATATATAACAGCCAAACATTAAACATGTGCAAATTGGAAATTGTCAGTTTTCCCCTACCAGTCACAGTGCAATGATGTTTTTTTATACATTTTTTTTTTCAAATCTGTTTTCATCTACAATAAATTAAGCTTCTCTTGCGTCTAGGGTGACAAACTTGTAGCACTGAGGTATTCATAACGATTTGTTTAAAATAAACCTTTGCTTTTTTTTTTTTTCTAATTGGTGAATTAGAAAAAGAATGGGAGAAAGGATGGGTAATAAAGGTGAGAAGATGCATGCTTTAACTGCCCCTCTCCACAGCTGGGAGCTTCCAAGACGTCAAGACTGGCTTGGCGCAAAGGCTGCAGGCAACGGGGCTGGCGGAGATGGATGGACAGTCAGGTGATCTAAATGGTTTAAAAAAAGTGTGCTTGAAACTTTAAATACCTTTTAAATATTAAAAATGTAGCTTTTTCAATCTTGGGAAAAGCAGGTTTTTTTTTTTAACTTAAAAAAATGTAACTAGACTGTTACTTTAAAAGCTGTGCACATAGGTCTAGTTAATATGCTGGTATGACGCTAGTACAGTTATAAGGTCTAACATCTACAGAGCAAGCTAAACAGTGTTGATCTAACTGCTACGGGCCAGCTCTGGCAGTCGGTCTCACAAGTTTAAAAACATTGGGGCACAATCCAGCGGAAACGGTCCCTGCGTATCCCTGGCGAGATAAATGGGAATTGAGTGAGGACCTCAATTGCCCTCCTACTTTTTTTCCATTCATATAAAAAGTCTTGCAGAAGAGAAGATCCCGTTGGGATGTGTGCCCCAAATTTTAATCTTTTTTCTTCCATTCGGGTACAGAAACTGCCTTAATCTGACTCCATCACAAAAATATTACAATTTCTCTGCTTTTTAATAGTTTATATGCAAGTTAATGGAATTGTATTTACAGTATTACTATTTTTAGATTTCACAATTTCAAAAAACCTTATCGCCTCTTTTTTAAACAACAAAAAAATGCACTTATAGAAAAAGGACACAAAAAACTTTGTAGTCCTTACTTTATTGCCGAAAATAGATATAATTAGGTTAACTAATAAAAAGAACTGCTAGAGATCCTGCTACTGAGCCAGCCTATTTCCCATCCAGCATAAAAGAGAGTATTTCCACTTACTTTTCTTGCTTGCTCTAATTCTAAATTCAGCGTGTGCTAAATTCCACCTGAAAAAGCCTTTTCAACTTCAGAATTGGTACCAATAAACTAAAAATCATGTTACCACTTCAGCAACAAAATTACATTAAAAAGAAAGAAATAGAGAAAGGGATTAAAAAGCAAAGTAAAGAAACCTTTAAGATATAGAGTATGGTTAGGGTTTTCCTAAATACACAGAGTAGCAGAACTACTTTGATTATAAACCTATGTCAAAATACTACAAAAAAAGTGATTAAAATAGATCTCAAAGGGGAAAAAAACATCAAGAAAAATAATAACATGAAGAAAAATGGATTATATATATATACACATTTGTTTTAAAAAGCTGTTGTTCTATATAGTACAGCAGGTTCATGAGATGATACCGATTTTGGACAACCCATATCCATTGAGTGTCACCTCCAGTTTGTGTGGGTTACTGATGGTGCAATGGCCAAAGTCTGAAGACGTGTCACCTAAACATGGAACCATTCAGAAACTTCGCCCTGTCTTGCCTGGACATCCAGATATACTCTACAATGGATGAAAGATAAAAGAAAAACAGAAATGTAATGGTTACGTTCCGACCTTTAGAAAAATGCATCTTCTTAGCCCAAGCAGGGACACAGACAATGTGTTCAACCTGATAGCCCATTTTCTGGCTTCGCACAAGTTCTACTCCACATTTATTTCATGTGTTAGATTTGTATTTAACGGGTTCAAGCAATAACTAATCGAATTATCTGCATCTATACAACAAGCTAACTTCAGCCTGTATCAATTGCACCTACTAGATCACTAGGAAGAAGCTCCATGTCATTCCATATTTCTGGGAGGAAGGAAAGTCAAAGGCAAGAGACAAGGCTTCTCCGGGGGGGGGGCAGCCCCAGTGCTGTGGAACTACATCCCTGAGATCAGGCTGGCAATCTCTTGGCCGGCTTTCAGAAGGCTATTAAAAACTACACTGACAAGGGGGGCTTACCTATTGCGCCATCTTTTACTTCTCTACTTTCTATTTTTGTTATTGTTATAGTACTGTGGTGGCGAACCTGTGGCACGCGTGCCGGCACATGCGCCATCACCCGTCCTAGGCCTTCAGCTGGGTTTTATAAAACCTTTTCGCTTTAGGCCTCTGCTGCCGTGTGCAAAAAAAAAAAAAAAAAAGGTTCAATCAATCAATTTCAACTTCTCGCGGGAAAAAAGATCTCGCAAAGTTGGAATTGATTGATTGAACTTTTTAGTCCCACTGAGTTTGCCGTTACCACCGCAGCCACGCCCACCCAATGGGCCACACCCACCCAGCACCCGATGATACATAAGTGGGTTTTGGGTTGCAGTTTGGGCACTCGGTCTCTAAAAGGTTCGCCATCACTGTTATAGAACATTCTGCTCATTAATATTATGATTTAGGTTATTTTTGTTCCTTTCATTTTACCCCACGGATGTTTTAATTTTTGCATATCACGTAAAACTGCAGAGAATCAAAAGATTGTAGCAGGAGACGAATTCAATAAGCAAACTTAAACTTTGCGAGGCGGCATGGAAGACTAGTAGTTGCTTTGGCTAAGCGTGCCAAAGAAGGGAGGAAGATGACGAAGGGTGACAAGGGGCAACAAGGGTAGGTAGGGGCTGCAGAGTGCAGGGTGGTTTCCAACAAAAAGGGGGCCATTTGGTAGTGGATTCAGACATACAACTATGTGGTTTCCTTAATGGCCACCATAAGAAACAGTTAAAAAAAATCTGGTCTGGTCACAAGGCGTCTGAACTTAAGATGTCCACAACTTGCAACAGAGATTCCAGGCCCAACTGTGGTGGTAAGTTGAGGACTGCCTGCATGTGTTTTAAAATGAAACATGGGAAATAGCCATGCCAAATATTGGAATGGGAGATTTTAATTTATACTTGGAAACTTGCATTTTAATATAGAAAGATTGATGAAATTGATAGTTTCCTCAACAGAATTTTAACTGAAGATCTAAGCCAGACAGGGGCATCAATCCTGGGCATCATTGCAGATGGTGGCAGCAATGGCTAGTCTGAAGCTTGGATTTTCACAGGAAATTTTGGTTTTAAGAACGAAGGTTGCTTCGTTGAAACCATGTCGAAAGAGCACAATGGCATGTGGGTGGTTTGCTGAACCAGACTCAGATAAAATAATTAAGAAATTATCTGCTTGGGAAGTCTACCGTTTCATTTTTCAGGCTTGTAGTATTGTGAGCCAAAACAAATGGAGCAATGTGAAATTAGAAGTGATGTGCAACTAATCCATGATGGATTTATACAGTTTATAAACTGCAGCATGAAGAATATTTTAAAAGGTTTCGGTTACATTGCATGATGATAACAACTCAGTTATAGAAGAACTAGTTCTTCGGTGAATGTCACAAATACTCAGTTTCAGTGGCTTAAACAAATACCTTCAACAATAATGCGAATAACTATGAAATCCAGTGTGGCCCCCAGAGAAGCCTTAATCCTCCCAGTCCTTTTATTCATTCATTAATTCATTTCAAATGAACCACAGAGAGCTACAAGAAACTTTTTCTCCATCTCGAGACTGAGGCCTCCCATATCAAGAATCCCCCGCGGGAAACTTTTATAATGTAAAAGTAATCCGAACTACAGTTTCACTGTAACAATCCGACAGAATTTCAAGCCACAATAAACTTTAACAGGTGTCAGTTGAAAAGCTGATTCTGAGTTAGGCTCTCTCTGGGAACCTTTGGTAGCCTCGCTCTTACGCGAAGTTTCTAGACCTCAAACGTGAATAATCCTAAGCATCTAATTTCAACTTCTCTCCTGCACACTCTTCTTGGTTTACAGCGACAGAGGTGAAACTTGCATGTTGAGGAGATAGGTCGTTCCAGTTAAAAATATGTTCGAAAAGGCCACCCTTGCCTTGTCTACCTTCGGCTCAACTTTTGAATATCTTTAGTGACTCCTTTCCTGAGGCAACAAACATCCTCAACAGGAATAATGAAGAAGGATGAACAGTCGGTGGAAGCAGTGGTTTATCTTGCCCATGAACTTCTTGGCACCCGCTGTCCAAGGGGGATCCTTTTCCCTTGTGAAAAGTAACTTCAAGGACACCATAATAATCTTTACTATGGCTTTATGAGGTGAGTGCGTACAGTATGCTAATTGGTTAAACATTGTCCTCACCTTATGCCTCTTTTTAACATTTCTCTAGGTTAGGAACAAGAAATTATTGGGACGTGCTTTTGAGGATCATTAGCAGACCTAATTTGTTTTGCAAAAAACAGAGACCAAATCTGTTAATATCAGGATCAATCAGGAATTACACTTCTTGAACCATACAAAAAGTGCGTGTCCATACATGCATATGGATAGATGGACAGAAGCCCCCCCCCTTTTTTTTTTTACCCTGAGGTAATCTTACATTTTCCTGCCTGCTTCTCTACATTTCGGTCCTGGAACTCATGGAGGGCAACTGGGCTTTCAGGCAGACTCCCAGCAAAGTCATACTTAAATGACTTAAGGCATGTTTTGTACATTCAGGCTTCATTATGGCGTATCGGCCACACAGCAACACATGAATCTCATTTGGTGAATGTCACAAGTGCTTAGTTTCAGTGGCTTGAAGAAGTACCTTCCCCAAGAGAAGGCGTATCTATGACATGCTGTGTGCTCCCCGAAATGTCTATCAGTTTCCCAAACAAAAGGCAACTACTAATACTTTCCAAAGCACTATACCTTTTAGAAGCTTTTAAAAATCTCATTTGATCTTTCCACCCTTTCCCACATTAAGTGAATTGGGTTCATCTTCACACATGAAAAATGCGCTTGTTTCAGCAATCATACTTTTAATTTCATGCTTTGATTTGGAAATTAGAATTCATGCAATAGATCGAGAGTACACAATTAAAATTAGCAACAATGTCTCACATTTTTCTTACATTAGCCTGGTTATGGCTCTGTTTTAAACTAAATATTTATTATTGGAAGTATATAAAAAAAATACTGTGTTAAAAGCCATAGGTAAAAGAGGAGGAAACAGGTGGGGATCCAGAATATATATGACTGTAGTGATTTTTTTTAAAAAAATCTGTTGAAATTTAATTCCTGATTTACATGATTGTTCTTTAAGAACAAATCACATGTATTGTGCTTACAGTCTTTAGCATAAAAATGAATTAGTTTTAAAAAGCATTACAATTTTAAAAAGAGTTTCTTTCAAATTCACATGATTTTATAGATTTTCCCTTAAACATTCGAGTGATCCTCAGTATTTAGAATTGTTTTAAACAATCATAGCAACTGCATACAAAAATTAACTGCTATAAGCACTGTTTTTTTCCAGAATTGCTTCAGGATACCTTTCAAGTTTCCAGCCCAAAAGGTTGCTTTTAAAATGTTTAAGAAAAAAATAAATAAAAGAAGAGTAAAGGTATCAGAATTTAACCCCCCCCAAAGAGGGAAGGATATAGTAGAAAATATAAATGCTATATATATTGATATACCTCCAAGTGAGATGGCAAGCAACCCTGTGTAACGTTTCAGTGGTATCCATTTGTAAAAGCCGTTGCAATCAAAGGCCCCTAAAATTGTACAATTGCAATTGTTACTAATATGACACAAGGGAAGAGATGATTTTATTTACTTTTTTTCATGAATTATCAAAAATTATCAAGTACTGGTGTTGCTAGCATGAATATTGTTGCCATCTGTTCTTGCTCATATATTTGCAAGCTCAAATTTAAGGGTGCTGAAAAGTAAATTTGAGTAGCTTTAAATTGCTGTTAGTAAATGGATGGCATGAATGTATTAAAAAGGCAGACACTTTTTGAAAAAAATGTTATTGGACATGAAATTAAAGAGACAGCTCTGTTCCAGTAGACACAAAACCATTTAAAAGACCACTCTGGTGCAGACAAAATACAATGCTGACTGCGGCGTGATTCTTTAGAGAACAGACCACAGGGAAAGGTCAGCAGCACACACCTTTTCAAAAACAATCCAATCTTTTTCTTTAGGTGCAAAATGGAAATGAGGGGTGTTGTAAGCGGTGATAGATGCAGTTTAAATTGATGTAGGTCTTATCAGAATAATCTGTATTTCACCACATTCAGTTGGTCCAATGGAATTTACCAGTAACCCAGATGAAATTACAAGGGGAAAGAAATGAAACAACGATTTGGTTATACTTGGGTTATTTTTTAGCAACTAAAATAATTTGAGGAACTTGTCTGCATTTTTGAGACAAAATAACTCAACTATGTCCATGCGTGTGCATGTCTGTGAAATTTTTCAAAGTTGGTTTAAAATCATTTTATTAACTAGTTATTCAGATACACAGGACATTCATGCTACCACACACAATTTGAAAACAGCAGAATTAGAGGAAATAAACATTGCATGCAAAATTTGCACTCCCAAATTAGTATTTTTTCTCCCAAATTAGTAATTGCACCACGTTAATGTTCAACATTTTTGTTATTTATTTGAGAAAAGGTGTGTTGCACTACTTGCTAACATTTCTGTGGATAATTAGGCCCTTCAAGTTTAATTCACATTACATTTCCCCTACCTCCTCCTATACCACCCTTTTGCTTGGGATTATTAGAACCACTCTCGAGGGAGAGATATAGTTCAGTCTGGTCATGTGTTTAATTGGCTATTAAAGTGCAGGGCATGGTAACTTCCCATGCAAAATAGTAGACCAATGCTTCAGTTCTAGCCTGGCTAGGAATAAAGTGGGCAATCAATTTGTACAGTGTAATCATAGGCCATTCTTTCTTTCCCACGTTGCAGTCATAAAGAGTGCTTCTATAAATGACTCAGATGTCTATGCATACATCTATTCCTGAGGATGCACAACTACACTAAGCTGTCAATGAATTGAATACAGAAATGCATCATGAGGAATACTCAGAACTTCCTAAGATATATTGTGATATGAGTGTTGCCAATCAGTTACTTGGGGTTACTTAAAATTAGCTCAGTGTACAATCTCCATTTGTTGTTTTGGTTCATTTCTGAAAAGCTCTCCTTCCCCCCCCCCTCCCCATGATTCAGCATAAACTGCTTGTAAAGATTTTAAAATACCGGTAGTCCTCGACATGCAACAGTTCATTCAGTGGCCATTCAAAGTTACAATGGCACTGAAAAAAGTGACTTATGACCATTTTTCACACTTATGACCGTTCCAACCTCCCCATGGTCACACGATCAAAATTCAGACACTTGGCAACTGACTCATATTTGATGGTCACCGTGTCCTGGGATCACGTGATCCCCTTTTGTGACCTTCTGACAAGCAATGTCAATGGGGAAGCCAGAATCACTTAATGGCTGCAGTGATTCACTTAACAACTGTGGCCAGAAAGATCGTAAAATGGGGCAAAACTCACTTAAACGTCTCATTTAACAACAGAAATTTTGGGCTCAATTGTGGCGTTAGTTGAGGACTACCTGTAAAATAAGTCATATGGCCAAGTTTAGCATACAGAATTTTTGCAGATATTCTCAAAGAAAAGGAGACATCCTACTGGAAAGTAAAAGACAGCGTGCTCTGCAGCTTGATATATCTTTCTTCCAGTGGAATAAATACAGGCATATGTTAAACAGGCATCTCTCAATTGCTATTTAACTGAAATAAGGGAATCCAATACACATCCAATTTCTGGCAAAAAAAAATCAAAATGTGGGGTCTGGCTGAATGAGGTTTCTAGCAAGTCCAGAGAAACAATATGTGGTCTCTATCAAAATCGGAGTCCTCTGTTATATGGAATCTATAGATCATGTGTGTGTGAATAAATAGATTCAATTTAGTGCCCAATTCATAGGACAGGACAGGACCCCAGATTGTGTTGCTTCGAAAGGTTCCATAGAAGAGCATTGCAGTGCCAACAGATTTTATTCACTCTAGAGTTTCTTCAAGAGAAGGAACAGGAAGACAAAGAGAGTTACTTACAGCAATTCCATGCCCAAAGCCAGAGCCAGGCTGGGGGCTGGCAGCACTTATGTAGTTACCCACACCGGAGTCTTGACTGGCTGTACCGTAGAGGTCTGCAACTGGACCCGGGCTGTTTGCCCCTGGAAATCCTCCGGGCCGGGCTGGATTGGAGCCTGCCGGGGAAGCGGGTGCGCCAAAATTCGGTTGAGCACTGTAGCTATTCAAGACTGGTGTGCAGAGAATAAAGCTGGGTATGAGGCCAGAAGCTGAGCATGCACAGTTATTACAAAGCCAAACACTAATAAAAACAGCCTAGGTCCAACTTCTAACACTTAACCAAGGCCATGCGATAAGAGAGCAAGTACTCAATAAAAGTCAGCCCATACTACTAAGAAGCTTAGAGCTCCAAATATAGAGAAATATGTATAAAGAGAGAGAGGGAGAGAGAGAGAAATCATTCAACACACTACTGCAACCTGTAGGTGGTCGGTTTCACCAAATTATCACAAAAATATATATTTTCTGACATCTGATTGGATGCTCATGCAGTAGTAAAATGGGTTTTCTAGATCTGGGCACGTTGAGACAGCATTCACATCCCATGCAAACTACAAAGGAACTAGTTTTAGACTACACATTGTGTTAATATTGATATTAATGTTGACAGCAGAGAAAGCAAATCATACTTAGAAAAACTTTTTGGGATGAGGGGGGAGCGGAATCCACTGAAAGCTTTCAAACAATACATCCCACCCAGACACCCGCCCACCCACTTCTTTTACTACTGAAGCGACAGTGAAGGTTTGGAGGTTTGAAATGTTTTTTTCTTTAAATAAAAACAAACAAACAAACAAATGATAATGTAATGGAACACTTGGGAGTATTTGATATACGTAACAGGAGTACTTTCCTTCCCCTTCCCCTTCCCCTTCTAGTGTGGAGAAATGAGTGCCTTTCTCCCTCTCAAACTATTAATTAGGTAGAATACGAGGAGGAATGAGTAGCCAGAAGCTGAATAATTCTGCATCCTGAAACTTAATTATTTCCAAAGAGAAAACATATAAATTGTAATAAGACAATCCCTACAGCTGGAACATCTTAGGCAGCTCACTTTTATGACTGTTTTTGTAAAGGGAATTAGATTAGCAAGATGGTCAGGGAAAGCACTGAGTTGTTAGGTGCTGGCTTTAGACAGAGATAGAGATAGATAGATAGATAGATAGATAGATAGATAGAGAGAGAGAGAGAGAGAGAGAGAGAGAGAGAGAGAGAGAGAGAGAGAGAAAACGGCTGGAGACCCACACCCTGCTACCTGCATGCTAAGAAAAACAGAGCTGTTTTCTTCAGCTAATTGTTCATGACCTTTCAAAATGGAAGGCTTAATTATTAAATGAACTTTTCTGTTATTAATCTATCTGTAATCCCTAGAGATGACGGTACTTGAATATTAAAAAGACAACTAGGAGTAAGGATACCTCTCTGGCAATGGCCCTGCCTCACAATACAACTGGGTAGATGGTGCTATACAGAAGTGTGCCCTCCCCCCCAAAAAAGAAAAGTCCAATTAGTGCCTGGAATGGTGGGATGGAAACTCTGCCTGGTTTTATGGGCATTGCACTAAACATAAAAACAGGCAGAGTTTTGAAGGCACCGTCATGCCACCCTCTCGACTTTTCAACTACATCCCTGGCACTGTATGAAGGGAGCCACAGAAAAGAAACAAATCTCCAGAGAGCTGAATGAATTCCAGTTGGACCCATCACACAAAGGGTTTAACTAACTCTACACAATCAGCTATATTATGGAAATGCTAAAGCCCATTTAATTAACACATTTTGTTGAACCGCTCCTTTGAAGTTAAGAACTGAAGAAGAGCAACAGAAAAGGCAAGTCTCATTATTTCTAAATTCGGTTCAAAAGCTGGTTAGTAGAGAACACATTTCCTGAACTTTGGTTGGCCAGACAGGCATCAATTAGAATGAGAAGGGAGACAGTGCAACCGGGAGCTAAGAAAGGACCTAACTGGGTTAGATGTGTTGCAATTAAGCACTTTTAAACATAGATTTCAGGCAAACAAGCATACATTTTAGTACTTTTGATTTTCTTTCCATTCATGAAAGATGCAAGTTTCCCAACAAGTTAACATGGCATGTAACTCTGATTCTTCCCACTTTCCTCCTTCCTATGCTGGCTCAGACAAGCTATTACTGTACATCTGAGGTATAATGCCTCTGGTATTTCACATTAGTTCTCTGTCTATTCTTTGCAAAATCCACTACTTCATTCAGGGAAACTGCAAATACATACATACATCTGCTGAGAAGGTTTTCAATCTCTAAAAGCCACCTCCATGATTAGAAAAAAAAAATATCCACACAACTGATTGGGGATAAACCACATCTAGTTCAGTTTATAGCAATTTTGTGAGCAATGTGCCCTCTGTGGTTAAATAATTAGTGTTTGCTTGGTAGAGGGCAAATGGGAAGGGCTGCCTGTTCTGAGGAAGACGGAGAAACATATGAATAATCCTTGACTTACGACTTAACCGTTCAACGTTACAACAGACCCCCTCCCAGCTAATTATGACCATTTTTTGAAGTTATGATAGCTGCACACACCACTCCAGGGTCACATGATCACATGGAACATAGAATAATAGAGTTGGAAGGGACCTTGGAGGTCTTCTAGTCCAACCCCCTGCTCAAGGCATCTTGCACGTTTGGCAGCTACCTCACCTTCATTGCTACTGATAGCATCCCGTGGTCATGTGACTGCAATTTGTGACATTTTTTGCCACTTTCTGGAATTCGCTTACAGTTTCTGGCAAAACACCCCCCCACACACACACTTATTTCAGAAAACTGATTTGATTAACAGCTGCAGTGTGTGCTTAACGGACACAAGAAATATATTAAAAAAAATAGATCTGGCCTCAGCTTACAACTACAAGAACTGGGCTCAATTCCAGTTGTAAGTCAAGGACTAACTGTAATTTACAGAGAGATTGGGAAATCCATGTGGGGACACTGCTTACAACTGACAAGAGGAAAAGATGAACAGGATCAAACTGGGGATACAAATATGGAACAACGGCACTCCATTGTGCTGGGCTCTATTGGGAAAACAAAGCCGTTTTAAAAGATATTGAAGATTAAATGTCAAGCTAACTTTTCTCATTTTCACTCATGAAGAAAAACATCCAGCTGAGATATTCAGAGGCCTTTTATTCAGTTGCTGGAGCAGACTTTTGTTTTCCAGTTCAGTAAAGTGGATATTGGCCTTGCTGACAGCTCACCAGGATGCTTTTCCTTTGCCAGGCGAATGAACACGTTGGCCTCGGAAAGCAACGACATGCACAGACACACATGGGCTCCACATGGAAGCAGCTTCAAATTGCACCATATGGAAGCCGCACTTGGTTTGAGCAGAGGAGAAGCTCCTAATAACACAAGGCAGTTTGGGTAAGATGGTATTCGGCACACGAATTAAAAGTTTGAGGCAGAAATGGGTGGGGATGGGATTTTTTCCCCCATTCCTTAAAAGAACCTGTGATTTCATGGCTCCGGAGTCTTTCATGAGTACTTCCTAAAGAACACAAGGAAGATTTCAGTGACTGACACGCTCTTTCTTTATCTCTGCTGAAGCTTGCTGGGACAGAAATGTCTTCTTTGGAGACCCAGGACTCCCGGGTTGCAGTGATGTGCAAACAAGAGCTTGGATTGGATGCCGTACAATTTCATGTGTTAGCAAAGGTGCAAATAAGGAATAGTTGTCTTCTTGAAGGCTGGAATAAAAAAAAACAGCCAGGACAGACTGGGATGGACTGCGCTGCTTTAGGTAGAGATGGAAGGAAAATAATAAGCTGATGCTTATTGGAACTTAGCGGGACTGTCTCCGCATCTATTTAATGCTTTGGTTTTATGGACATTGTTGATGGCTAAGGTATTTGAACGTTTTAAAAATACTTTTGACACTATGGCCAATCATATGACCCTATTTTTAAAAAAACCAAATGTCCAATTTTAATATCTGATGGAGAGAGTTATCAAATGGTCAGGGATCTCCCATTTTCCTAAATTCAATTAACGTGCTCAGCTAAGAAGGTTTGGACAAAGGAAAATGCAGCCATGCTTCAATCAATCTCCTCTTCCAAATGACCTCTGGTATCTGCATCCCCATAGCTGGGGCACCCATTTGTGGTGTCACGAAATCCAGATAGCCTCCCTTACCTGAGTAGAGTTGCTCACTAAAATGTCAAGAACAATAAATTGCCAAGTTGACAATTTGAAGGAAAGTAAGAGTGAACAACTAGGATTCTACAATTTTTTTGAATCTCAGAGTTCAGTCTTCTTCTCCCACCCCATCCCTCAATTATCCCGTCCCTAAATAATAGTAATTTCCTTACAGAACAACAATTCAGGGCTGACCATATTGGTTCAATGCTCTGTTCTATTGCACTGTCAATAGTTGAACATTTCTCTAAGTTTTATGTCACAAAGTAAAAACGTTTACTTAAGTCAGGCTTGGAGATGAATATTCACTCTAAAAAGATGGACAATTATAGCTGGGAGATATAATAATAATAATAATAATAATAATAATAATAATAATAATAATAATAATAATAATAATAATAATAATAATAATAAAGTTGGAAGGGACCTTGGAGGTCATCTAGTCCAACCCACTGCTCAGGCAGGAAACCCTACACCATTTCGGACAAATGGCTGTCCAGTCTCTTCTTAAAAACTTCCAGTGTTGGAGCATTCACTGCTTCTGGAGGCAGGTTGTTCTACTGGTTAATTGTTCTAACTGTCAGGAAGTTTCTCCTTAGTTCTAGGTTGCTTCTCTCCTTGATTAGTTTCCACCCGTTGCTTCTTGTCCTGCCTTCAGGCGCTTTGGAAAATAGCTTGACTCCCTCTTCTTTGTGGCAGATCCTGAGATATTGGAACACTGCTATCATGTCCCCCCTCGTCCTTCTCTTCATTAAACTAGACATACCCAATTCCAGCAGCCTTTCCTTATATGCTTTAGCCTCCAGTCCCCTGATCATCTCTGTTGCTCCTCTCTGTACTCTTTCTAGAGTCTCAACATCATTTTTACATCATGGTGACCAAAACTGGATGCAGTATTCCAAGTGTGGCCTTACCAAGGCATTGTAAAGTGGTATTAACACTTCATGTGATCTTGATTCTATCCCTCTGTTAATGCAGCCCAGCACTGT